GACAGATGATACCTAAGATTATTAACCTATTAAAACAATAACAGTCGCGGTGGCCCACTGTCCACGTTTTCGCATATTGCTCAACTGTTACCTACATTCGTCCCTGCCCACGCGCATGTTACGTAACCGCTTCAAAATTAGAATAGAATACCGCCTAATGACGGCTCGTACCGCTTGTCAAAGTAATAACACCTGTCAAATCTAGCTTTTAAATGTAAGAATAGGTACTAAACATGATTAATACTGATTTGTTATCGATTGTGATTGTGTTGCACCGTGATTTGTTTGTAAACTTTAAGCCTAAAGTTCTTACAATAGGAATTTTTCGATCAAAGGGTCCACTACATACAGAGCCGGTCTTGACTGTATTTGATATGTATCAGTTGTAAATAAAGTAAACCTGACAATTTTATGCCGATTTGATAGAAATACGGTGTCCGTTTTCCGTGATACGAATCTTTCTGGGAAAATCGCATAAAATGTATGCAGGCAACGTTTCGCTTCTAATGCAACCGTGGATAAGTACATGTATGGCAATTTTCGATATAGCAGTAACGTAAAATACTTTCTAAAACGAATCAACATCAAGGCAGCTCAAATTTAAGACAACAGCCACCCAATATTACAAAAAAAAACAAAATCATACTTGACAATTAAAATGGCTGCCATGAAATAGAAAAAGAACAATGTAAAATGAGGCCTTAAGCAAATAATGCCGAGCAGCCAATCACGACCGGGTCGGGTTCACATCGCAGGTCAGAAAGCATCACGACAATGCCGATGGTCACTGAACATCGTACAAACATTATAATTAATATCATTGAACACGAATCAGTTAATAAAAGAGAAAGGTATGAAACCTTGGACGGTGCAGTCGATTTAAAAAATAATAATATGGCAAGTTTTAAAATAGCACGTGGTGGGGAAAAATTTGACAAGGGCGAAGATTTCAATGACGTGATGTCAGATCTCTTTTTTTAAAATTGTTCGTCTGATAGATACAATATGTGATTAATATTGTCAATAAGTGATTTGTCAGAAAAGTGCTCATGGATAATTATATCCTTGAAAAATAATGGGGAGAAACTCGTTCTCAGCTATATATTAAGATCATAATTACCTAACTATCATCATCAGCCTATAAGTGCCCACTGCTGAGCAAAGGCCTCTTCTCACACGGAGAAGGTTAGAGCATTAATCACCACGCTTGCTAAATGCGGGTTGGCGATTTCAAACTTATAATTTGAAATTATAAGTCCTCACGATGTTTACCTTCACCGTATGTCAGTGGTGTCTAAATAATCATAAGAAGTACATATAACTCGGAAAGAGTCACATTGGTACTTGCCAGGTTTCTAACCTCATGCATGAGAAGCGGGCTCCTTTACCTCCAGGCCACCATGACATATACATATGACATATAACCTAACTATCTCTTATCCTTTCTCACAAAATGTTTATAATTGTATAAATTGTTTGTATAAGTAACGTCTGTTATTTGGTTACAAACGTAGAAATTAATTGACGTATAATGTTCCATTCCAATAGTTGTTGTACACCGCATTGTCTAAGGAATTGTAATATTTGCAACAATCGCCGATTATTTCAAATTTCTTGTTCGAAAACATCCACTTGTAATTTATAATATTATAATCTAAGAATAACAAATTCATTTGTCCTTATTTATTTCAAGAGTGTTATATAATATTGTAGTTATATCTTTTTAATACATAATATCGATAACCCTAAACTTGATACCTAAGTTATAAACAAGCTAAAATACTTTTTTGTGAACTAAGCCAACAATGGCCAAGAATCCGTATTTCCGATACTTAAGAACCGGGACAGAGTTGGTCTTCCAGCATTCGTTTTATTACGCAACCGTCTATCCGGAATCAGTAGTGTATAAATATTTTTTTTTATTTGAGTCCCCAATCACAGGCGTGATGAATCGTAGAAACAGAGCGAGCGGGCGCGTGCGCAGGGATCATTGACCTCACGTGAAACAATTTCCCGAACAGAAAGTTTGGGAACAGATTAACAAGACATTTTTCTTAAGAAATAATGCAATACAATAAATTGATCAATTATGTAATTCGTGTTGGTCAAATTAAAAGTGTATTGTATAGATGTAAGGATTATTTTTTATTTGTTTAGAGGATTTTTTAAAGCACACTTCCGTTTTTTCCTGCCTTGGCTGCGTTTACAAACATAATAATATACCTTTACATATACATACCACCCAGACCCAAATCAGAGGATAGGTTTATTATGCAAATAATGCCTTTCTATTTTACTTTACAAATTGCAATTTTTATTGGTGATAATTTAAACCAAGTAAACAATAGATGTGTTTTGAGGACTCGGTGTAAAATATTTGAGAATTTACCTAATGTAGGTACAGACATACAAAAAACCACGAAGTTTTTGAGACGAGTATCTATCGTGTGAATTTTCCCACCGATCAATTACGTTTGTCTATTAATATCGATTTATCGATCAACAAAGTTGAATAACTGGTTTTTGGGAATCGGATGTTTTGTTTTGTGACATTTGTAGTTCCATATGAACAAATTGACGGTTAAGAGATCAAAACACAGATACAGAGCAGATTAAGTTTAATTCGCGTGTGGAGTATACGATTTTGTCATAGACAAATTCGGAAAAATTGTCATAGCAAAGACAGAGATTTCATTTGGCCCGATGTTTTAAAATCTTTTTGTTAATGAATCTAGTTCGTAATAGCATACAAATTCGCGGTGTCCCAGAGATTAAGACACCTCCTCATGGATGATGTTGATTATGATGGGTTCGTATTCACCGAGTTTGAATTCACCAATCTGTCTTGAGCAAGCGTGGTGATCAATGTCTTGGTGTGAGAAGAGGCCTTTGCTCAGCAGTGGGCACTTATAGGCTGATGATATTTTATGTAGTACCTAATATCTGATATCAAATTGAAATGATTGCCAGTATGACATTTAGAATCACAACCAATATACAAAGATACATTAAAAGACTCTTCGTTACAAAACATTTCAATCGAATGAAAATTGCGTGGCGAATATTTTTTTAAAGTATTACGCATTGGAAAATTCTATGCTAATAGGGTTTCCCTTTTCTCCTTTGTAAGTGTTAACACCATCAGCATAATGTAGATGTCATCGGAGTGACGGCTTTCTACTTGGTACTCCAGCACTTTCCTCTTCCTTATCTTAAGCGGTGACGTCATCACTATTTGAATAATGCAGTGATAAGTGAGAATGACATGTCTCCTTGTAGTGTTTTCACCAATTCCTTCATTGTTCGTATAAAAATTGTTAGCTTATGTTAAGTAAACACGAAGTCTTATAACGGTTTCTCTGGTAAGGTATTCCATTGTTTATGGGATTCTTTAGTTAATTATTTTTTTATTGGGATTTGGAATTGTGCTTGTTATATCATTGACATGTATACATATAGTGAATTCCTATCACATACAACCAATAAATCGGGTGACAGATTATCATATTAAAAGAATCACACATCCAATCGAAACCAAAGAAAATCTAGTTCATCAAAAAACAAGCACACAATATATACAACAAGTAAAATTAAGACCAAAAAACACTTTCACAAAGTTCATTTTAAATTGATATACTGACTTGAAACTGCAGATCAGCTATTGATTCCAATACGCCTTCAATTTTCTTTATAAAGATGGATGTTTCATTTAGATAGTCAATGCAATCAGTTTGAATGTGAATTGAATTGATTTCAATTTGTATAATACTTGTTGACGATGTTGGTCAAACGCGAGTAATCGACCTCGTGTAAATATTAGTGACATTAGACTAGTTTTTCATTGAAAAAGTAATGTTCTGATGTAGGAAATGACCTTAGTATTGTCAAAGTTATATTGAAATGGGAGATCATTGTTGTTTTTAAATACATACATATATATACAAAGTCAAAGTCGATCTCTTTATTTTAATTTGTCTACATGTAAATCAGTTGGTATGTCACTACAAACCGAACCATATACCCTTATTTGGATGCTTTAAAGCAGATCCTATGTACATTTATCTTTTTTGTTCCAATTACAAATGTAGGTAAAATAAAGAACGAGATCTGTGTGTTTCCTATTATACTTATCATAAAAAGAAATGTGTAAAAGCGTAGGTCATTTAACTTTTTTCATAGAGTTAGTCTATCTTTAATATACTCGTAAGTATGAGCACATGGTAGGCACAAGAAGATTGCGATGCGAGTTAAATGTTTTATGGTACTTAAGGTACCGTGAAAATACAATGATTATATATATTGTACCGCCATCCTTCCTTCATATTGTATCAAAACAAGGAAACGATGGACAAACAAAGTACTTCTCCATTTAAAGAGCCGATTACGCATACAGATTATTCGCAGGCGGATTTTAGTAGCATCTACGTAATCGTTTATGAGGTAGAAATTAAACAAATTCTATTTCTGATCTCTTGCAGTATACCTACGAAATTGTAGGTAGGTACCGCTTCTTTGTTTTGCCATAACAGCCGCAAATAGCAACTGTGTAAAATAGAATCTCTTTCGTATTTATATTGTTTATATTCTGAAGAGACCTTACTTTATTACACTAGGATACATTGACGATGTACACGTCCAATTTCAACCAGTCATTTCGCAACAACGGTACTTTTTAAAATGAGATTGAAACTTCGTTAGCGTTAGCACCAAACCACATCCTTACTCGTGCTGTTGAAAAAACTTAATCATAACATCTGGCACGCTTATCGTGTAACAGACATCAGACGCGAACGTGAGTTCTCCAACGCCGAACATACCGCGCTGTGCATTCGCGGCGCGCTCGCGATTACGCTGGAAAAGATAAAACCTGTGCGGAAAACATCAAATCAAAAACTGGCTCCTTCATTCAATTCGAATACTTATAATATATTTTGAAACAGGTTCGGTCAAGTGTAAAATGTGATTAAAACTGTGATCTTTATAAGTTAGTGCATGAAAACATGATTGAACTGTTGAAAGTGAATGACAACAAAGTAAACGGAACAATGAGAGATATCGGATCTGATTCGTTCGTGTGCCGAGTCCAGTACCTGGATGACCTGGACCCTTTCATGGAGTACAATGTTCGGGAGCCTCCTAGGCCCCTGTACCACACATTCAACACCACCATACCCCTGTCGTACCAAATAGCCGCCGTCCATCGCTTGCTGCAGGCCCCACATCGGGTGAGTGTAACCTGTTGTATAACAATTTTATTGCTATTAATATACCGTAAAAATATTTAACGAGTATTACTTGCAATATACGCGTGTACGACCTCCTTCGATAATTAAAAAAACAATCGCCGATTATTTCGCGGTCCTGAGCTCATGCTTCGACCGAGCACGTAAATATTGACAATAAAATCAGTCACCGATAAATACAGCGTTTTATCTAGAAAATACTGATTTTACGAAGAAAGATAACAATTAGTGTTGATGATTATTGTTTTGTCATAAAGGCCAAGTTTTGCATAGATAAGAAATATTAAAGAGTCGATGCCATTGCTTTGATAGACAAACGACAAAGCCAATTAGGTTTTCAAGGTGTATTAACTTTTTAGATAGATCGCCGTGAAGGTCGTTTGTGGAAGGTAATTTAAAGTTTATTTCATGAAGGAAATATTAAAAGATTCATCGTACTTACTTTTACCTACTAAGCATCAACAGCTAGTTTTTTTTCTTTATCAACAATTCCATGCTACTAAGCGAAGAGAAACGCTTTAAAGATGGTCCAAAAACAACTTAAATGTTCCACTGGCGTTATTTCGTATTCTTTCATATCAATCTGCAGCGCTCCCCGGCTACCGCGACCCAGCCAAAAGCACGAAAAGGACGGGATGTTTTTTAGTCAGTACGAGTTACATCCCCTCTCGTTATTTGAAGTTTTTCACGCTAAAAAAGCAATCTTAGAATACACTTTAGTGATGTTATCAGTCAATTTTAAATTAAACCATATAAGGCCTGATATTATAGGCGATTTAAAGCGGCGTAAATCCTGACTGAAACTTCTAATAAACAAAAAGCACAAAAGAATATTCAAAATTTCTAAACCAATGTTACGTTTTAGTTAAGAACTATCGATATATGTAAGTAGCTATTAGTCTTCGTCGAAAAAGCGACTCAGTACTAGAAATTGCAGCAGTACTCCAGTAGTGAGATGAAAATAAACATTATTACTAATACCAAGGGTTACTCATCTCGGTATTTGGCTAAAATTATGCGTGCTAAATACTATCGCTACCTCGCTCAGGTGTTGCTATGACATAATATGACTTGCCTATTATTGTACGTACAATTGCTTCAGATACGAAATTGAGTTCGTTCTTTCGGCTGAGCAAAGAATTATTGTTGATTTTTTTTTGTCTAACAATTTCAATCGTACTATAAAGACTAGATTAGGTAGGAGGGTTTTTTTCCTAACCTTTTTACTTTACCCTTTTTTCGGAAAACGTTGCCCCACACTGGGATCTTCTCCTGTGCCGTGGGTGCGTTTACAAACATACAATTTCACATGCACAACGCACCCAGATCTGGATCAACAATCTGTGGATTACACAAAGAGTTATTCCGTTGGGGAATCGAACCCGCAACACGCTGCCTGCCCGGCAGCCCCATGCCTAGCCACTGCACCAAATCGCAGTTGTCGATATGTATACTCGCTGATATGTATACCTTTGACCTTTGGTTCAAGGTCCAACAACTACCAGAGATAAAACATAATCGACAGAAGATCAATAAATACTTACACAATATTAAAATCATTGATAACACAACAATACCAATGACAAAACAAAAGGATTCAATACTGATTAACTCACGGACCGTAAGATTAACACACGGAAACGAGAAACCAATCATTGTTTACACAGAGACAAATAAAGTTTTTAATTCATACGTTGTACGACATAACGATTATAATACCTAACTCTAAGCAATTATAGCAATAGGAATCACTAGAACACACTCATCATCTTCCTGCCCTTGTCCTGTTTTATTTGGGGTCGGCGCAATATGTTTTTTTCTTCCATTCTGTCCTGTCACTCGTCACGCTATCGCTACCTCCTCTGTCTTCCATATCACTTCTCACACAATCCATCCATATTTTCTTTGGTCTCCCCCTCCCTCTCCATCCATCCACATTTATACTCATGACTTTTTTTGTTACATGCTTTTCATCCCTTGCATGCTTTTCATTCCTTTTCACATGGCCATACCAAGACAAACGGTTCCCTTTCAACTTTTCAGTCACTGGCGCCACTTTCAAACTTCCTCTAATATACTAATTTCTCACTTTATCCATTCTCGTCACACCACATATCTATCTCAGCATTCTCATCTCTAGAACACACTGTAAAATTAAAAAAAAAAAACAAACAGAATTGTCTTCGAACAACAGTAAGAAGAGTCGAAAATTCGGAGATAAGGACCTATCTTTTAGAAAAAGCGACTAATCAAATTAAATTTTTACACAGTTCTAAACAGCAAATCACTACAAACCAATCAGTTAATAGAAGCTACTTGATAAGTACTGTTTTTACGGCGTACACCAGTTAATAGTAACATCCACTTAACTAGAACTAGCGTATAATACCCGGCACTTAAATCTCAAGTAAAACATTCATTACCTTTAGACCCAGTCCCGGTATAGAACCAGTTTCCATTGTCATACCATCTGTCTGAACTCGTTCACAGCATTCTCGATTACACTGTTTAGCAAAATTACTTGCCTAGTAATCTGACGTAAGGCACAGGATGTGTATAAGAACGGGAACACAGAAAATTGACCAGAACAAATTATAATAATTATTGTTTTGTACGCTGTAATGTATGATACTTATTACTGGACTGCTCTTATTGCGCGCTCTAAAGGATGTTAAGTTTATTAGTATGATGGAGAACTGCCAGACCCCTAATTATCGGTGCGTACCTGTATGATTGCTTTCATGTTCGTACGTAGCTGTCATTGCAGCAATTCCAAAGAATATTCGCTTTCTTCTACAATTATCGGGAAATATAAATTACATGACTGTACATTATGTATGTACCAGCCAATCGCACTTTATCAATATTCCATTATTATTTTCCATTATTTTATTGATTTATTTCTTATAGAGGTTTGGATTAAATCTTAAACAAATCACCATTAATATCTTCATGCTTGTCAATGATGTGCTTCCTTCTGAATGCCCCTAACAACAATCATACATTCATTATTGTCAAAAGTTCATGCAATTAAAAACAAAACTTTATTTATTTTAGTTAAAAGCATATTACAATAGTGATATAAATCATTGTTTACGCCTTTATTACTCACTAACTTAATCTTTCTTTTCCTCGTTGCGTTCGTCGGAAGTTTATTAATCATGTCCAGATGTACGTAAAATGTTATCTCGGAATTTATATTGTAAACGCTATTACACCCGAGAATATACCGAGAGGACCTTGGAATGTTATACTTTCTGCATTTTAAAGGCATTGTAAATATGTAAATTGAACTGTGGGCTTGAAAGAGGAAAGGTTAAACAAAGGTTAAAACAGTTTCTGCCACTTCATAAAATTGGAAATAAACTCTCTATGCACAATTGCATATACATAGTTTTGCTAGTCTCACCGTTCGCATGCCAACGAAGTGATACAGCAAAATGAAATTCGATTTGTAAATGCTTCTCATCAGTTGCAGAATTACCTACGTGGAGAAATTTGTTTCTGCTCTCAAAATCACGCGGATATTCCTTTACTCATTTACAAGTCTGTTTCCAGTGATCCCTCTGACCTTACTTCCTCTATGGTGACATAATATGTGTGTCATCACATTACTAGATCTGCCAAAAATAATGTAGACTGCGTGTTCCAGGAAACGATGTGTGTGCAGTAGGACAGCATACGATGCGTCAAATGTGGGTCGAGTGGCTCGGATCATTTCCAGTTTATTTCTATTTCTCTTATTGATTATAATCGCGTAAACTGTTGGGACACAATATCGTAGGTAAACGTCCAAAGTATAAACATTTTTTTTATATTTATACGCCATTATACAAGGAATTACTGGAAATACAAAATATTCAAAGGTTTATTTGTAGGGAGATACACTATGAGTTCATAAAAGATAGCATTCCAGATAACTGCAACGTTATCGGCTAATAACATAGGTATTAATAAACTGATATAAATCAAAGTCGGTATTCCACGTTGACCTGGCCCGAGGCAAATGTTTGTGATAAGTGAACACTCACCGGCAAAATTGTTTAGATATTGATATTGCTAAAATGAACCGCAGGCGAATTAATAAAATTTGAACTTTATAACCAAATTATAAGGTTGACAGTTCACAGACAACCATCTGTCTTATCGTTTACTATCTTAAACGGTAGTCTAATCAAAGTTTCTATAAGTCAATGTACGGGTTTGGCATATATGTCAAAAGTTCACGTCAAAATTTCGGAGAAGGATTTTCCTATACACCTGGATTCGACTGCGATTATACTCCTTGACCATGCTATTTTTTAAGGAAGTTCAATTGATATAGTTTTAGTTATCTTACTAATCTTACCAACATTATAAATGCGAAAGTAACTCTGTCTGTCTCTCTATCTCTTGTCTTCACGCCTAAACTACTGACCCGATTTCTGTGAAATTTGGTACAAAGATCGTAAATGTTTGGATGTTTGTTACTCAATCACGCCAAAACGGCTTGACGGATCTGGATGGCATAGAATACACTCCGGAATAGGACATAGACTACTTTTTACCATCATATCATGCCGGAGAAGCCGCAGGCGGAAGCTAGTTTTAATTAAAATTTAACCGCCTGCTAAGCGTAAAAATTAAGAGTAGGTATGTACAAAACTTGCATTAATACAATTTTCAAAGTGAATATCTCACCTTTTTCATGAGAAGGGAAAATTATCAATATTAAATCATCGAATGAGTCCTTCCGAGAGAGTGTCAGACTCTTACTGACTAAGAATCACCCTGTTCCTTCCTTTGTTTCTGGCCTGGCTTGCACTCGTAAACTCGGCAATATTTTACCCTAAAAATACGTACTAGGATTAAAGACATCCTTGTTCTTAAGAAATAATTTTATTACATTCGTGTTCAACGGAATTGTACCACTACATGTGACACAACACTTCTTACTATCACCAATGAGTTTCTGAGTTAAAAGGTCGCTACTAATAATTATA